AAATAGAATATAGGGTTTTGATAGAATACAAATCATGGAAAAGATCTGTTTTTATGGTTAAAGTCTTCCAGTTACAGTACAAACTATGTATAATTCTGAGAAATTGAATCGTCTATATCACTCCCCATTTATCATAGAGACAACATTTTCTCTTTTTTTTGTTTAAAAGAATGAAAACATTACTTATTTCATTAAAATGATAAAAAAAAACCTCCATTCTGTCAATCACTGTAAGTCCATATGTTATGTCATAATGTCAAAAAAATATACATACACGAAAAATAGCCCCTAGTAACGATAAATAAAAATATCCAGCTTTGGAGGAATAACATTGACTTTCAATTCTTTATTTTTTACCTTTAAGCAACAGCAAAGTAAACTTATTCTTCGAGCGTAGCTCAGAATAAAAAAATCTAAACAAAACGCTTCACCTACAGAAGAAAAATAAAAGTTTTTCGAGTGACATTTTCCCTTTAAAGAATTCTCAAAATTCAAAATGAAAATCTGTTGCTTTGAAGCATGTATATACTGTCTTTGTATAACTGAAATTAGGGTTTAAAACCTAAAACAACGCCACATAGAGAGGGTGTTACCAAATGGGGTTATGAGGCTTGAATAACCACCAGGAATCCCTCTATTTTAACCCTGAAAGTTCCAAGGCTGTAATTTGAATTAAACATTTTTGGGTGAGTTCAGCCTCTGTTATCAAAGTGTCTTTGGGGAGTCGCTTGGGTACAGCGAGGCTCTAATTGGTCGGGGCGGCTGTTATCTACGTACAGTAAAACAGCTTGAGTTCAAGCTGGCGCCGCTCAGAGGGAGGTGAGATCTCTATCTATCCCCTTCATTCACAGCTTAATTCAATTGGAGGGCAATTATCGACCGCCCCGAGGCTCCAAGATCCCTGTCGGTTTTTGTTCTCATCAGGGAGCTTCGCTGTGTAAGACCCCCCCACCCCTCCTCAACTTCACTGGGTGATGTCTGTATCGATGTGCTGTGTGTAAAACACCAGAGCAGGCAGCAGCAAACAAGCAGGGGGGGGGGGGGGGGTTCAACCTCAGGATTCAAAAGATTGTGAAGCTGTGTTTGTTTTTGCAAGAAGAGGAGGTTTCAGCATGTGGTTTTTTTTCCTTGAGGGGACAGAATTACCAAAGCCGTCTTTACTCAGATGGCCGACTGTTTGTCAGAAGCATGGCATTTTCGACCCAACAAGTTCTCCCACCTTAAAATATATTGATAATGGAAATATCTCAGAGCCTACCTGAAAACATCAGTATTTCCCTCATTCGCTCACCTGGAACTCTCCACTTATCTGCTGTGATTCATTTCAGAAGCTTAGATAAGGCTTGTGAGGGGGGGTGTTGGAAAGAAATCTGGTTTCTTCCTATTTCTGTTATATGCAAATCTCAGCTAGAGCTTAGCATTGTGATAAAGAAAAAACAAATAATTAGAAATCTGGAAGCTTCTAAGTATCTGAAGGAGGCAATGATGCTCTGACTTTGTTTCAGGAAATGTTAACGCGCATAAGATTAACAGTCACTAAATTGACTGTTGGCTACAGCCTGATTTGCATTTAGATTTTGGCAAATTGTCGGCAACACACAAAAGAGAACACGCTCCCAGCAGTCGTTGTTTGCAGTGTACAAACACCCACAGGTGGAGAAATACGGAAACTCAAAAAAGGTGCAATTTATCCTGAAATCACTGAGGGAGTGGAACCAGAGCCCAGGAAAATGTGTCCAAAACGGGAAAAAAGTTTGTCCACCAGCTCACATATCCACTGCAAGGGTTCCTCCTGGCTTTTGGGAAGATAATTTGGACGTGGTGACAAATATCTGTGCGTTTGCGCTTCTGTGCATCATAACCAAAAAGCTCAAATAAACCAGAACACAATAAATCAAAAAGATTTTCTAGGATAAAAATCATTACTTCTCTCTTTTTGTAGTGTTTGGGGCTGTTTTCTCATTTACAGTCTTCACATTTCCTGCTCGCATTAATGTTATCCGAAATAAAACATCAGCTTCGATTTTCATGCTTTCTCGAAATACATCATTAAATATGAAAATCATTTCAAAAGGCAGGAAACAAATAAAACAGCCTGGTGAGAGCTGAGCATTTTGAATCTAATAACCAGGCAACCAGCAAGACTGAGACAAAGAAAGAATTAATGCACTGTTTAATTAGTCAAACAGCCTCTTAAGTACTTTTCTGTTCATTAAAAGGACGACATCATTAATCACCCTATGCAATTCATTCAGCAGGTAGTGCTGGGTCTCTTATTATAACTCCTACATAATGCATTTTTAAGAAAGTGCGTTTCAACTTTTTGTTTTTCTTCCCAAAAAGATGCACAGAAACACCCATTAATAAGACCGTTTCATGCACTCCAGCATCCTGTTCATATAACAGACAGTTTGCACTTAAAGATGTTTCCTGAGAGCTTGTTTTGGCCGTTATGTCTGGATTTATTAAGAAGCGAGCCAAGCAGAAAAACGGCTCGGCTTTCCGAGAACGCGGTGGCCGCGCGGCCTGCTGTTCGTCTTATTTTTATCACCAACAGTTGCATATGGGAGAGTTTAGCCTCCTTTGTGGAGACGTCTGTTCCCCGCGTGTGAGCTGCAGATGATAAAGTCTTTGGGGTTGGTCTGCAAAGGACAGAGAGGTTTGAACGCGCGGGTCTGATTATTTCCAGAAACACGCTGCGGTCGATTAGCAGTTGGACGCGGCAAATTTTTTTCCTTTTTGCTGGGTCTGCTTTGTGCCGCGGCGCAATTGTTACTGCCAACTGTTTGTACAATTTCAGGGCCAAAAAAATATACGGGGAAACGATCACGAGGACAAATCGTCAACATCACGCGCCCGAGAAGGCTGGTTTTCTCATCGTCGTTCAATTCAATTTCAATTTTATTTATATAGCGCCACATCACAACAACAGTTGTCTCACAGCGCTTTCCAAACAGAGCAAGTCAGACCCTACTCCGAAGTTAATTACAGAAACCCAACAATTCCCACCATGAGCAAGCACTAGGCGACACAGGCAAGGAAAAACTTCCTTTTAACAGGCAGAAACCTTGAGCAGAACCATGGCTCAGGGTGGGCGGCCATCTGCCTCGGCCGGTTTGGGGTGAGAGAGAGAGAGGGCAAGAGAGAGAGAGAGAGAAGAACAGAGAGAGGAAGCCAACACAGCAACACGAAGACTAGATGAAAGATGGCAATCGTTGTGTTTGTCGTTGTCGTTGTGTTAGCGTGAGCAAACCGGGATCATTAAATGCATGGATGAGGTTGGCCCGGCTGAAATGGAGCAACTCACCACTCAGCTAACTCAGTCTCATAATGCAGTAAGGGATGTGTACACTCAGGTAGACTCAAAGGAGCCAAGGCTTTTACTAAGGCAGTGCCCAATTAATCTTGCAGTCTTCGAGTGTCCACAAAAGGAGCTGGTAATACGGTTTAATACAGTACAAACAGATATTCTTCCACTATCTATATTCACCAAACAGCCAAAGCCAGGCCAGATGATTAACGGCTAAACAAACACGATATAAAAACCCAAGGTCTCGAAGCGCGTCAGATTTAAAAAATCTACATAAATCCAAACTGAACCACATAGGCACAATCCTGAAAACAAACAGACCTTATAACCGAATTATGTTCAATTGTAAGTGCTCGTGGCTGTGGATTTACATTTTGAACGTAAGGTTTTCCAAGAATCCCTCAAAATCTGCCTTTGCCAGGAAACCTGCATGCATGTATTTTAGAAAAGGAATGGAAAATACATTGACACTAATTGAAATTGCTTAATTTTTAAATGATATTTAAGCGAATTGGAAGAAACCGGTTTCAGCACGCTGGCAATGTGATTGCAAAGCAGGAATTTGAAAAGAAAAAGGTATTTTTCACAATTAAATAAGCAACTTTGCAGCAGAAAAGCATTACAGTGTACGTCTGTGCACATTTTACTGATTCGTTTGCTCCTTAAACTTTAGTTGATGCGAGACAAAAGCCCATCTGATTTAATTACTGTTGCATCTTACTGATGAAGAATTCCTTTTTTGAAAACTCTGTTGCAAATATTACACTTTAAGGGATGTACCTCCAAACCTACACAGCAACCCTGCTGCTTGTTTCTGCTTCATGCTTCTGCTCTTCGATAAATCAAACACGACAGTCAGACCAACTTTCATCAATTCAGGGCTAAAACATGTTTTGCTTCTGGCTTCGTATGCCCGGGACTATTGGGAGATGCAACCACTGCTCAATTTAGACTAAAATGGAGTAAAAAAACGCTGAGAACGGATCAGCAGACTTCATATTTCTTCTCCTCATCGCGTGAGTGAGTGGGCTGTAAAAGTTTTGGCAGCGTTTCTGCATCCGCTGTGGTTTGTCTTCAGGCTTCAGCAATTTTTGAGCATGAAATATACATCTAACGTTGGTCCAGGAAAAAAAACTGAAGACACTGAGCCTCTTCCCCTCTACAGATACAGATACAGATGGCAGATTTGCTTCTTTTTGCTGTCGGGTATAGCTGGAATTTGCAGAAAGGGCAGATCACTTTTCTCCCAACCGACTGCTGAGCTGGCTAAACTTTCTTGTCTCTTAGCGGGCCACGCACAAAAAACAAGCTCAAATAGCTGCGCGTTTGTGTTGCGTTTCCCCCTCGAGAGACGCTCGAATCCCCCGACAAACGGAAAATCTACATGAAAGCATCCGACCTGTTTCGCTCCAAGCAGAGCAGCTTCATAGCCCTTGATCCTCTAAGGGGCCAATAAACTAAATTTGAAAAGATCGACAGTGTTAGCGAGCCCTCACCTGCGCATAGACACACTTGTGAGATGTAATTATGCGCAAACACACAGTTTAAACAGTGAGTAAGAGCCCCGGCAGACTCAAGAAGAGCTGAATTAACAGATCAAATGTCAGAAATTAAAAAGCAGAACAAGGATGAAAGACTCGGGTCACAAACCGAAGCCAGAGGGGGAAAAAGATCTAGAAAGCGTGGTATCTTACTTTGTGTAGTCCTTGTTGTCTCTGTCACAGCGCGAGTCCTTGTGTTTCTCCCAGTCTTTTCCGTGTTTGCAGGTGGTCAGCAGGACCACGTCCTCCGCGTTGTGGATGTGATAGAGCGCGTTCCGGGTCTCCGACCCGATGCCGGTCAGGTACCGCTTCCCTTTGAAAACCAGCAGGTACTTCCTGGAGGGCGGCGTGTCGTTCAGAGTCAGGTAACCCGTGGCCCCCGCCTTGAGGGGGTGATCCTTGGAGAACAGGGGGATGGAGATATCAAAGTTGGGTCTGAAGTTGACCGCGTCGGCGCTGGCCTTGGCCAGCATGGCCTGGCCCACCTCGAACCCCAGCTCCTCCGAGTAGTCCGGCCAGGTTCCGGAGTACAGGTTAAATATGAGGTGGTTCCGGCCGTCGTTCCACATGGGGAGGCCGTGGATGCGGGATCGGACGTTGGGGACGTACTGGGACGAGAGCTGGTCCCTGTCCAGCGTGTCCACGGCCAGAACGAACAGGCAGGCCTGGGTAGGGTCCGTTGTGTGGAAGCGGGACTCCTCGATGGAGGACAGGATCTTCTGGTAGGTCTCGGAGACCTCGTCCCCTCTCTGTGGGGGGTAGACGTAGACCCGGAAGGCCGACTGGCAGCGGGCGAAGTCGAAGCAGGTCTCCATGCGGCAGCGCCGGTACTTGTAGATGTTGTCGCGGATGGCCCGCCGCTCCCGGGGAGACGTGTGCTGGTGGTGGAGCTGGGGGCTGTCCTCCTGCGCGAACAGAGACACAAACAAGATCAACGCCTCCTCACCAACCAAAAAACATCTGCATTCACACACTGTCCACCGCCAAGTCAAAGAAAACCACACCAATCAACCAACAGATCCTAAAGGTACCCTAACCCTAACAGCAACAGCTCTGACTAAGTTGTTTATGCTGCGTTCATGTGGTTTGGAATCACTCAGGTGATCTCAAAGCATCCCAGAGTTATGCCTCTGTAGGCCCCCACTGCTGGGGGGCCTCCCATGATGCACCTGTCCTCCCTCTGCTCTGTTTCCTCTAACAATTTCGTCATTAAGTTTTCTTTCTTTCTCGGCAGAACTCGCTGTCAAGGTGCTCGTTGTCCCCTATTCCCGTCTTCTTAACCCCAAAAAGGTCCACCTTACCCTGGTTTTGGTTCTGGTTCTGGTTCTGTTGGAGGATTCTTCTTGTTAAAAGGGAGTTTCCGCTTCCCACAAACTCAGGGTAGGGAATTCAATCAAAGTGAAGTTTCAGCGTGGTTTTCCTCACAAAGAAACTTAATTAAACTGCCTCTGTATGAAATGAACCAATAGGGACTTAATTTATTATTTATTAGAATTAATTTGAATCTGATCGCTTTGAATTGGATTGAATGTCTCAAGTATCTTGCTGTTACTTTGTTGTGGTTTGCTTCTACGCAAATAAAACTGAGTCTCCAACTATTTTCGGAGGGAGAACTGCAGAGAAAGACAAGAGCGGAGCCTCGTCCAAAAGAGAGCATTAGAGGCAGATGACACAATGGGTAAACCCGGAAAAGAAAACAGACCTGGTGTGTGCTGAAGAAACAACGGTCTGTCCGGGAAACTGAACAGAAACCTTCTGAAACATTGGGGAAAACGTCTGCACAACTTCTGTGTTTTCGGCATATGTCATAACAGCATGAAGAAAGCCTCATTTATTTTGTTTTTTAGCAACCACAAGATCAAAACAGGCTGAATGTGTTAAAAGATAAGTGTCACTTCTGTCAGATGGGGCCAGATTCTACATCGTTTAAGCGGTCAGTTCTGGGCTTAAACCTTTTGACGTCTCCTGGTTGCTTGCTATGTGTATTAGTTGTATCTAATCAAATGTGACCATTTCTATGTCCAGTTTTCAAATCAACAAGAAGTTCCATTGTGTTTCACCGATGACAGAATAGCTTTAAAGATACTTTGATCTTCACAGCTTTTTACGAAAATCGTAAAAATGATTCCAGCATACCTCCTGCTCTCCGCCCTCCAGGTAGGGCTCCAGCTGACCGGTGGGCTCAGGCCAGTGTCCGGACGGCATGGAGGGGTGTCTCTGGGGCAGGGGCTGGGGCTGGAACGCAGCCTGCTTCTGGCGGCGGTACTGGTGCTCCTGCTGGTGATGCTGGGGATACTGGGGATACTGGGGATACTGGGGATACTGGGGATACTGGTACGGCTGCTGCTGGAAGTCCCCGATTTGCAGACCCCACAGGTAGACGAGGAAGAGAAGACCGGCCCCCACAGACACGAGCAGGTACCGCTTCTTGGCCTGCATGTGTGCTGCGGGGGGATCGAAAAGGAGGCGGTGGGTCTCTGGGGGGGGGGGGGGGGGGGGGGGGTTATCAAAACACGTGCTGGGGGAAGAGGGAAATGACACAGGTCAGGATTAAAGGGGATTAGAGTAAGGGCACTAAGGAAAAGAGAGGGAAAGGAAGGAGGAAAAAGGAAATGATGAGACGAGGGGTCACAGAGACGGACGGGCGGTCAGTCAGGAGGTCCGCATTTTGGGGTCAGAGGTCACTGAAAGGAAAAATACACAAAAAGAACATTATAAGTTATCATTGACCAATGAAACATTCCAGATAAACCAATATGTTTGTCCACATGCAAATTAAAGGCAAAGCAGGATCAGAGAGAAAACTAATGGCTGTGCCACCATATCGTATTATCTTCCCAATGGGAAAGGAATAAGGAGGAAACCTGTATTTCCCTCAAAGCTGACTATTTGCCGACCCCCGTGTGCCATTATTGAACTGAAATTTTAATATCCAGCCAAAGGCTGAGAGGATTACTGCCGGCTGCACTGAGCACACAAGCACAAAACTTTCCTCCTTCCTTTTAATTATTTCCTGTTATACGTTTTCCTTTTAGATTAGATATCAGCCTTCCTTTTAATAGCTACCCTGCACTGTGCCAGTCAAGTTTTTTTTAGGTTGAATGCTGGATTTTGAGTATAAACAGTAACTTTTCCAGTTTACATGATTTTCCAAGATGTCCATTGTGGTAATGGTTTCGAGTGGGAAACCTCCTGAGAACTCTACACGGACTTTTTAAAGTAGAATACCATACGTTTGACCAATTTGATTTAAAAGTGCATGCTCACCTGTTCACAGGACACCTGTGGTTCCGGAAAAGGATCGAAGCGTCCGCTGCGCGCCTCTCCAGCCTGGGCAGGGCTCCAAAGTCTGGTTTTCAAACACATTCTCCATCAACCCCCCGGACTCTAAATCCCATCCACAAATCGAGGTATCCTATCAACGCAAACCGGCGAGCTCAGTGCGCGCAGAAGAACCCAAAAAGACGCTTTTCGTTCATCATCCACTGCGTCCCGGACTCAAACTTTCCCAGAGAAAAAGACCCTGCGATAGCTTGATTCCCACCTGAACATGAAACATGAAGCCTTTCCGGGACTGGCTACCCACTTTGGGAATTAAGACACGCGCCCGTCTGCCACGGGAGCCGCGATCACACCGACAGCGCGCGGACGGCATCCGTCGAGAATCAACTGAGCGAAACGAGACGCGTTTGCCATCCCCGTTCTCAGACAACCCCAACAAAGTTTGGAATTGTAAATCCACTCTGCCCTGCTCTGCCTCTGGCTGTAAGACATAAGCAGAGGCTAGACGGTGCCAGGTATCCGAAACAGATGCGAAGTATAGGAGTGACTTCACGGTCCCCCAGAATGGCAGAGACGGATCAAATGCGCGTTACGAGTGTTTGCGACTGTTTTTCCTGGTTTATATCTCTCCAAAAACACTCGCTTCTAGCTGTCCTGGTGTCCTGACGTTCCCATCTTTAAATCCTCAGTTGGATCCGGGCTGCGCCACCGTGCAGCATCTGCATCCAGCATCCAGCAGCATCAGCATCAGCTCTGATAAGCCAGACAGCAGCAGGCTGGACCCGATCGGAGCACGCACGGTGCGTGTGCTGGCTCTGATAAGGTACGGGAGCCCACCAAACAGCGTCCCCCCCTTTCTGAGGGGCAGCTCCCGTGGAATCGATTCAATAGGAAGTGTGCATCTGTCGATGGACTGGATATGTATAAGACTTCAAACTAAGCAAATAAGTGGCCAATTCCGGAGTTTAATGACAGATTTTATGTCTATGTTTATGTTTATGCATTTGGAAGACGCTTTTATCCAAAGCGACTTACAGAGTAGACACAATTTTATATTTCTCATCACTATGACAATAAGCTATATAGAGGAGAAACACTGATCAGAGTCAGTGGTGAGATAGAGATAGAGGTAGAGGGGATAGAGGTACGGGTTAGGATTAGGATAGGAAAAGGTAGTTTCATCCCTATTTGAATATATAAACCAATTAGGATTTATCTCAAAGTTTGGAATATATGAGGTCGTACAAATGAGGTGATCCAGGGTTTAAAAGATGTAAGACCTAATGTCACAATGCGTCTGACAGTTGGAATGAATTGGCCTTTTCTCCTTGTCAGATTTAAGGATTTGCTTTCACCACAGCGACGACATTTTCAATTACAAACAGCAGGCCAGTCATCTGCATGGCTTTTTTGTCACATTTGCAACGCAAATCCATTTTTCTCGAGTCCAAGATCCTCTAAGGTTGGGATTAAACGTTGGATGATGATGCTGAGGGGATTTGTCATGGTTTACAGTTTTCCAAATCTCATCTAATCGCTCGAGAAGTCCCATCTTTTCAATCTGTTCCGTCCCTTTATTCACGTCTCTATCGCTTTATAGATAGCCAATTCGATCAAGTTAGAGGAATGTGATTGGGGTGATTGTAGAAAAAGTTTTCAGATTGCTGGGAAGTCAGTCAACAGACCTATGGTGCATCAAACAGCGCCATCTTGTGGCTCATTTCGCTTTATTTGCACCATTTATTTCCACCCAGATTTTGAAGTCTCAAAGGATCAGAAGCTCCTCTCAGGAGCAGAAGTAGGCAAAAAAAGAAACGAGCCCACACTGTAGGCTATCTTTCTTAAGCAAGTCTGCAAAAGTAAAAAAAAAAAAAAAAACGTGCACTGTTGCGGTTTTGGAGTCTAAATTGTCTCAGATTAAAGGCGAGAGCTGTCAGTCACCGGGACGCTTTTTATGCTGTCACGCCGTTTTTTTTCAGCTGCAGCAGAATTCCTCAGGCAGAGAAGGGGAGCCTGTCTGGCAAATAATTTAAAGGGAAATCAGCAAACTGCACACGGCACATTAATATTAATCCAGCCAGCCTCCCATGTTCTCTAACTAACTGATGACAGAGACATTTATGGACAAATTATGGCAAAAGGCTTCTGGTATATGATACTTTAGACTGAGAACAAATCGGTTTTTATAGGTAGTTTACGATAATTTAAAACTCCTCTGGTAGATCAGTAGTGATGAACTGAAATAAGTAGTTTTTTTTGGAATTTGGGAAGAAATCCAGAGTGAGAAAAATGTCCCAAAGCATAAAAAGCTTATTGCAGCTTAATTTCATATTATAGATGCCTTATTTTTTATTCACATCCCCAATATGCTCCGTCGTTTGGTCTCCTTCAACCTAAACTGGACCTGCTGCAAGATTTGGGAAGGGTCTAGATCCAGGTTTTTAGAAACTAAATGCTGGAAAACACAAAATAAATCATTACGTTTCAAATCTAAGAAAGCACGGAACCACAAATCTTAAAAATCTGATCTGAAACACTATCAGAAAACCGTGGAGTTTTGCCCTTTATTTACTGGTAAGGTGTTAACTGGAAGGATTCACTGGTGTCGGCGGCTTCACGGTCCATTAGGGGCTGATAAATCTGAGGGAGCCCTGTTTGGTGTTGACGGAGCGGTGCGGAGAGCCGGTTTTTGATCTGCTTCCAGTCTCAGTCCACCGCTTCACTTCCTCCACTTCTTCATCTCCTCCATTAATCCCGGAGAGTGTGGCTGGAGTGGAGTCTCTCTCCTCCTCTGTGCCAGTGTGGAGGAGAGGAATGTGGCCGGGGGCTTTATTTGTATTTAGATAATGTGATTAAACTCACACTGTACCCGATGTGCGGTTCATTTAGGACCCGGCATTCTTCACTGTTAACTGCACCGAGCCTGACGCGTGGAACCAATAAAACAACAGGAAAACACTAATAGTGCAGACAGTAGATAAAAGTGATTCAGACGCACACATCCTCTTTTTGTCATTAACTCATATAGTATTTCAGAGCGGTAGTTAAAACTCTGTATTCAGGCTTGAGCCTCTTTGAGACTTTTGCAACTTCGTTATTCTGCATCAAACTTTCTAATTAAAAAGCAAACATTCAGCATTTTGGAATCCGTGTGTAATGGCTCGATAGAACCGGGCCTCGGTGGCTAGTTTTACTCAGTAGTATCGGCTGAAGAGAGGAAAAAGAATAATGGTGTGCACCGTTTGAACTTAACCGGTGACGCATGAGTAGTTTTTTCAGGTTGAGATGGAGATGCTGTGCAAAAAGAGCCTGGATGGAGGCCAAATGGTCCAAAAATGTACTAAAAAACATGACCAGAGAGAAAAAAAGTAGCAAACAAGTGAACCAATGAACCAGAGAAGTGATGACAAGATTAAGATTGAGGTGATTTTGATAGGATCACAACCTGAACACTAAAGAATGAGAACCAAACACATCTGCCCAACTGAATTGGAAATATGGGCTAATTTGGGCTCATTTGAATAGCAGTTGAGGAGCATGCTGAGAGGTGAATTTTTCATCTCATGTTCTTAGCTCTTTTTCTGTTTGAGCTTTGTTTTGTTTTGTTTGCATGCATCCAAATACAATGAATCCGGTTGGCTGTATGTGTGCAGACACGTTAATGCCTCATCTGTGTGTTCCACCAGTCCTGAGAACACGTGATTCATTATGATTCAAATTAGATGTGTTTTAAAAGCATGGTCGGAGTCAGACAAACTCAATAAATCAACATCCAATCCATAACTGAATTAATGCATGTTGTGGAGAAAATGCATCCTCCATGAGTCTTGATTTAAACCAGGAACCATCTTGATGTTAAATCTATATTTTTTATATATGACATAGTGCTGATTATTAGATTTTAAACTGGTATTTTAGCTTGTTTCTGTGGTTTTTAACTGTCTTGTCTTGGAGTTTTTCATCAACTAAAGGGCATGTCTGGTCCTTTTACCTCAGATGTGCAGTGCACCAAATACAGTATTTAAATTATGGGCTAAAACAGTTGGGTTTCATATGCAACAGACCCAGGAAGCGGGGCCAGTGAGCAGCAGGGGAAACGAATGGGACTGATCTGCATTATTCACAGATCCCAATGACTCAAAAGTGCAGGTTAAATC